GTTTTGCATCTTTTATCGCCACAGGGTCCAGATTGACTAGGTTGGTTTTGACTAGCGATTGGCGTTAGCTTTGCCCTGACTAGGATGTCCTTTAGGTTTTTTTGGTCTCCGGTAAGCTACTACAGGTTTGTTTGGAAGTATTAGGTTTAGTATGTCTGACGATTGCACGGTTGGCCAGTGGTTTGCGATGATTTTACCTACTTTGGGATTGTCTGGGTGATAGGTCAGAATAAATGGTGTCCTATGAACCTTTTCTTTCTGTCCATATCTGAGTAGGTCATCACGGTTTGTTTGTTTGGCCCTTTGGATTGCCTCAGCAATCCGTTCTTTGTCGTAGCCTTGGTAATTTAAATGTTTAGCCAGCTTTTTCAGACCTTTCTAAGAATCTTTCATCGTCGGAGAAAATTCTGCGTATCCTCAGTGCCTGGCTATATGGAATGTTCTTAATGCAGTGTTTTGGATGACAGCTAGTTGGGAGGAGATGCTGGTGTTTGTCAGTTGGTTTCGAGTAGATGTCTGTGTGTAATTTGTTTTCCACCAGTCTGGTTGCTGTGTCTAGGAAAACATGGTCTGAGTTGGAAATTTCTGCCGTGAATTTTATTGAAGGATGGAAGTTGTTTGCCTTTGATATAAAGTCATCCAGACTTTCTGCCACTTCATTTCTATATCATCGATAAAGCGTACCCACTGGTATGGTGTACGATCGACCGATGCTAAGAGCTGACCCTCAAGTTTTCCCATGAAAATGTTAGCATGTGAAGGGGCCATATATATATATATATATATATATATATATATATATATATATATATATATATATATATATATATATATATATATATATATATATATATATATTAATCGTTTCCCTAAGCTATGAAATTTTTATCAGTTTGAACGCATTTCTGCCGTTTGTGTGGACTAAAGAAGTTATTTATTCTTATTTGTGTGTTTATTGATACTCAGATGTTTAGCAGCAACATATTCCTATATGAATTTGCAATTTATTAAATATTATGAGCGTGATATCCGTACATTCTGCAATACTTTTATATCCACTAAAGATTTATTGGCAGGATATTCCCAATGATTACAAGTTTTATTCATTCTTCAAAACTTTCCAAAACACTTCATTAGTTACCTGTACGGATTCATTGGGATTTGAGAGAGTGAACAGAATTAATACCCAAAAATTATTAAATGCCTAATATGACATCATATTTTAATACATCTCACACCATAAATGAAAATGATCTTTACACAGATTTACAAGCATATTTTGCTTGATTTAATGTAGGCTACACGGAGAGATCAGCAAGTTTTGGACAACCATGACACACCTTATTTACTGAGCCAGGTGTCAATATGTACCATAATTTAAAAAATGTTAAAACTTTTAACTTGAAACACATTTAGCTGCTAACATAAGATAGAGCTATGGAAAGAAGGAAATTAAGCCATGGCGAGTTAACACAGATTTTATATGTCTGATTTTATTTGAAGGACCATGGCCGATGAATTAAACATAATATCCTTGAGAATATTTATATTCTGTGTCCAAACTGTAGTAGATATTTCAGGATAATTGAATCTGAATTTCATCTATTTCCTAGGCGGTGGATCAGACACTGGATCAAAACAAATTCAGTTTTCGGACTCAGTACGATTATATGAGACAGAAATTAAAACAGAACTGATATTGCCTCTTTGTTTACATTCGCACAGCGAACTTCAAACGTATGCTCAAAGATTGTTTTTAATAGATGTTTCTAATAAAATAGTCAAGGAGAACCGCTTATCATTCACTCTTCAGTCGACATTATATTTCTGTTAAAGCTGATCCCACAAGTATCATTCGTATTAGAGCTGTACACTTAGATTCTTGTAATAGACGTGAAACATCTCTCAAATGTAACGTACCACGATCGCCTTAATATTTACTATACGGCTAAATAAATTAAATTTGTATCATAGATTAGTGTGGAGCAGAATATTAAAATGATTATCAATGATTAGACTGGTGAGATATATCTTTTGTACCACTGAAAATTTACTGTTATGACTCAATATTGTAATTATGACATCTAGGTATTTACTTTATGACTCAGAATGGTGTGTATTTTTGTTTTATTGTTTCTTAAAGGCTAGATCACCTGATTTGCTGCTAAAGGTTGAAGTATAAGCTAATGCTATTCCATTGATTAATGAACCCCAACAGTAGTCATCACAGTGAATAAACCATAATTGTGCCATTCTTCCAGGAATTGGCTGGTACCATATACATTCATTTAAAAGTACGAATTGTTCATCAGTTCACAATAATACGTGATTTCGACAAAATCCAGTTTCATAAAAAAGAGGTTTAAAAGAGCCTCAGAGGAAGTCATTCATTATTTCCAATTTATTTTAATAATAACTTTACCTTTTCAGGAAGAATTGTGTGGATAGGATAAAAGTTGACATTTGTCGACATGAAAAGAAGTAAAAGAAGGTTGAGACCAATTCACGTTAATTTCATATTTATCTTGAGAACACTGTTTTTTATACTAGTCTTTGTCAACCATTATCGTTGGAAAATAGTTTGCTTTTACTTATGCTACCTCGTGACATGACACTCCGCAAACGAGAAATTGTTTGTGTGCAACAAAACAAAAATATGAACGACCCCAACAGCATCACTTTAAAACAGCATAACTTTTACATCATTTGTATTAGGTAAGAAATATACTTTTTATTCGATTGATCATTTATCTTCGATTATTTATTGATTGATTATGTGATAAACGTGAACAACCTCAGTTTGCTGCGTTGAAAAAAAAAGATCATTTCCTTGGTATAAAAAACCACACCGAAGCTTCATGCAAACCTTTCAACAAATAAATGGTATTGACTATACGTATTGTAATAATAAGATAAGATAAGACAATATAAATTTTCACCTTTATGTCCGAAACGTATGATTAAGAGTGTTCAAATGGAGCTGGTCTAGAAGTTTAGGACTGTTCCACCATCATTCTTGCATGCTTCAATTCACCCATTCGGCCATCTAATCCTTTTCTATGTAACTATGTATCCATACACCAATTTACTTATTGAACAAAATAGAGACAGACAAAAAGGCTCAGTTAGATTGATGGGCGGACAAATAGACGAAATGAAAAGATTAAATAATAAATAAATAGTGACAATGTAGCCAGTCTGAAAATATTGATCAATGCAAAGTAATGGCTTTCTTTTGCTGATACCATCGATCAATAAATGAATTTTCACCCTTTCGTCTGTATTAGACTCAACTACAGATCTTAGATGTAAGGTACGATAGCAAATCTTTTAGACAGAAAATATTATTCATCATCAGAACTTGATATTACATTTATAATATAGGGCATTGCTTTCTCTTCCCAATCTTAGTAGCAGATAGTGTGTGATTATATATTCATTGATTTAACTCATTCGTTCATTCCAACAGAGAGTAAAACATGCATTCATCAGTTAATTAATTCATTCTTTCATTTACTGGATGGTGGGCAAAATTAATGGGTGAATGGATCTCTTGTTTGATTGCTCTTTTTATTTCGGCATTGTTTGACATCTATGAGACTTTTAAATGCATTCTTTAAAAGAAACTTAATAACTTCTTTGATTGTTCTTTGTTCTGAAGTCAATTGAGATGACCATTTTGCATCAAGAATAATTAAGGTTGCTTGAAACGAATAAAGTTCACGATAAAATTATGCGCATTCCAAATAAGATATTGAAATTCAATCTGCTGACACCAGTTTTAAAATTATGTTTTGGTTTAAAATGATGAATCTATTTAAAGTGCCTAATTGATTTAAGCAAATTTCGAAAAGAAATTATATCTAACAATAACATTAATATATCTTCTATCAGAAATAAAGATTTACTGATATTCTTGTTTCGTTTGCCACAATGTTTATAAGCATGTCATGAAAGGAACGTGCTTATTAACACAGAATAAGTGGATATTTAATATCTTTGAACTGTAAACAATGGCTTTAAAAGCATAAAAGACATTAACAAAATTGACATTTTGTACAGGAAAGTGACCATTGTTCCTTTAATAAGGTAGCTACCCCTTGTCGCTACTGGTATAATTTCCATTCTTTCAATTACGTGGCCATTGCATTTCATATTAATTATTCTGCGAAAAATAGGCGACGATATTTTGATATTATCTTTTTATATAAAAATGTGATTATCCAGTCACGTTTGTTAAATGTGATTATCATGTCACGTTTGTTTATCATACAGTTTAGTAATGGATGAATTGTTGTATATGGAAATCAGGAATACAAATTCTTCATCTTACCAATCCTTTATTGCATAGGCATTTCTTCAACGGCGTGATAAACTCAAATAAATATGACTAGAAATCAGTTGGTATACCTGCTTCCTATACTACTTAGAAATACGTCGCTATTATCCTGGCATCCAGAGAAAAAGTCAAGGAAGTATTGAACATAATGTGCTCAATAAAGATAACCAGACTCACTTAGAATATACTTATACTAGTGACTGAAATACTGCTTGATAAAGTGATTCGAACATTGGCTGAAAAAGAAAATAATATAATTGGCTTCAAATGTGAATGAAGAATTGCTGCATAAAATAGTATCCAAGCTCCCTTTAACTGAGTCTTTCCTTTAATTGGACTAAAGGATGTGAATAAACCTAATTTACCTATATCATCCAAATTACATGTAAAGTAAAAAGGGATTAAATTTACACTTTCTGGTGTTGGTGTTTATAATTTTTAACGTAGCTTTTAACAATTTTTCAATCTTATCGCTACGTTGTCTGCAGTCTGGCAGTTTATAGAGATATCTAGCACTGGGGCATCATGCCGCAGACATGTAGCATGATGTCCCACGCAGTCATATTATCCTGACTCCAGACTGACCAGTCCTAACACCATCCTCTTAATGCTGAGCGTTAAGCGAGGCAGCTGTTAGTACCAAGTTTATAAGTCTTTGGTATGACTCGACCGGGGATCGAACCCACGACCTCCTGCAATCGAGGCGGTCGCTCTAACCATTAGACCACCGGAGCGGTACACTTTATAAAAACGCAGTATAGGCAAAGTATAAACAACCAATATTAGCAGAATTAAAAGTCAATAGGTATTAGTGGTAATTGATCTGTTCATTCGACCTAATCTCTTCCAAAATTGGCTGCTGACTACGCCGTTGTAGTCTGAGTATGTCACAAGATAAAGTTAATGTATTCTCATCAGTAACAACTGAAACTGATGCGAATAATAACGTGTATTACGACAAACGTCTAAGCAACTGCCCTTGCTATAATAACCGTGTCCTATAGCTTTAATCTGAGTATACGTATAATGATATATCTGACCTACTACTGACAAATATTTCAATTAAGGATAAACATGAACGTATCGGTTTTGACAGCTTGAACAGTAGATATATCGTGTCATTCATTTCAAATGAAAATGTTATTGAAAACTGTAATAATTGTAAAACTATATATAACTGAATATAGGTATTTTTTTATTTATCACATGTTAATGTCTGTGATACGTCAGGAATCACGTTCAGAAGTAGTTTGAAAGAGGAAACATTTCATGTTTTCCTCCAAAAAGTATTTTGAGAAGTAATTTGTCTAAATGTATGTCAGATACAAGCGCTTTTGAATTAGAGCTTCATTTTTTCCATGCCACGCAACACAGTTTAACGCTCCTGTTAGTCCTGAGATAACAGATATTCTCAAAAGAACGCTAGATGACATGAGCTTTATCTGCAGAACATTATGCATGTCAAATCATACATACTTAAATGTAGCAGTAGGAATTTGTTCAAAAGATAAAGGGTTCAATGTAGTATTCCCTTTGGAAAGAATAGACTTAATTGAACTGTCAGAATTTGAAATACGTTTTTGTTTCTCGAATTCTCCTTCCAACTTTCACTGTTACTTTTAACAACAACACAATACATCTGAATGTTTAGTAACTATTCCAGATTATCATAAAAACTCATATATTAATGGTATCGGTATACAACTATTTAACGTAATCTGCTAAAACTTTATTATTACGCCACATCATGATTGGAGACATCTAACTGGTATTAGTGGCCTTAAAACCTAATGGAATATAAGTGAGAACTTGAATTTGATGATTCAGCTGGAAGTTAAATAATGTAATAGATAACGGTAAATACGATACAGCCCTGAGCATCGTAACTTTCAAACAACACTAAATTAAAACAATATTGGATATTTGGATATTCTAAAGTACTAAATAAAGAAGTGATAGAAATACAAAAGTAAAAAACCCTCGGCATGAAGTATCGAATCAACAAGTTTAATACTTAACATGCTGAGCAAATCTGAATAGGTATTGTGGGTGGTGATATTATCTTTCAATTACCGAGCATATGGGAATGAAAAATGGTTGTCTTGTAGTGTAAAAATAAGTCATGTATCATTTACTCTATGACTGCAAAATATAAATGTTGTAGTCAAATAATTTATTCCAGTAGCTTTCTTGTTTAGCTTTTATTATCTCTGTTATAGTCGGTGCTTTAGAGACTACAAGTACATTTTGCCTTGAACAATCAGTCCTAAAGAAAGCCTCCTAGCTAAAACACAAGCATTTTTCATCTCTATTTCAGAGATCAAAACTACGAATAATGACTGTGGTGATCAGTGTTAAGTTGTTTGATGCCTTATGATTTTGTCTCTACTTTTGAAAAGAAACTGTACACTGATGTAACAGCCATTATGTTCAACATTCTGGTCTCTGTAAATATCAAACTAATATGTTTGAATATTCTTGAATTGCATAAACATAAAGTTATATAATACGTTGGCATCTTACATGACCAAGGAAAATAATATTTATATTATCTACTAAGTAGCTGTCGTCATCAGAGACAGATAATATAGCCATACTCATTAGAACATAGATAAATTCATGTTATCATGATGTAAGTAAATTTTACTTCTGTAACTGATGTGTGATCCAAAAGATACTTAGACGAAATTAAATGTGTTTTATTTCGAGTAGGAGGAAAGATATGGCGTAGGAATATTACGGCGATCATGCCAATGCATTTTTCTTACGCCGTATCAAAATAGTTTTTTTTTCCCCGATTCTGAATAAAATAACTACGTGGTTTTCTGTTTATTACATTTCCCCGTTTTATTCACATATTTTTCAAACAAAGTGTAATGAAAACTTCAGTTAAAACGTAATTAGGCCTTTGGCGTTTGTTAACGATATTGTACAGCCTTCAACATTTACATGCACGGGCCCTTTGTAAAGCTTATAAGTGTACTGTGACTGTTGCGTCATCAGTCTGTCTGTACAACATATATATTTGCTAGATAGCTATAATTTATTTTTTAACGTTGAAAGGAACATGTGAATAAGTTTAATCTGCAGCCCCAGACAAGTTATTTTTTCCTTAATTTTCAAATGGAAAATATGTATTGAACCAATAAGTGGCTCCTTTTCCTCCAAGCAAATTTCAGGGTAAATTTTACAGATAAACAGTAATTCAATACACACAAAATAAAACCTAAAGCTCATATATTTCCATTATACTAAAACTCTCCTTTTTATGTTTTCAATTAAGACAAACAATTTTTGGTGTATTGAACTTAATGTCACATCGTAAACATAATACTGACATATCAAAGATTCGGTCTATGTCAACGCGCTGATTAGACTTCTAATATTGATTGGGATTTATTTAAACAAGAAATTTATGTATAATATTGTAGTATCGGTCTTTGATCTCTATTTTCTACTTGAACATCCACAAAAATTTAAAATGTAAACATATATTTAGCTCAGTGTGCCATATCTATCTCGATAGCATTGTACATAACGGTAATTTAGATTAAAAACAAAACAGCTGTTGTTGTTTGTGATGCGTCTACCTTTGTGTTGCAAATGTTTGTTAGTTAATTCTCAGATTTACTAAAAATGTAAAGTATCAATTTCTCTGTGATTCGAATATACATAATGTAAATCCTTCCACTTAATGATGCCCTTTAAAAGAATTATATTTCAGCAGACATTATTTTTAAATTCTGAATCTAAATTGGATATTAGCTAGAATTGGTATTTTATATAATTTACATTGTGGAATGCCTCTTGGGAATTAAACACAGGAAACAGATTTTCTCCAACGTGGGACATTTCTTACCATGTCTTGAATCTTTACAAGGACTCAAGATTGTCAAACACTAAAAAAGATATTGCTGTTCACCTCAGCGAAAATCAAATTTTTCAGCCTAGATACCATACAATGCATATCAACTGTCTTTTGCTGCCTTAGGTACTTTCGCTTTATCCCTAGCTCCAAAAGCAGCCATTTTGACTAAACGTAATTGCTCTTCTTAAAATTAAAACGCTTTTGACATTTTTGAATAATTTAAAAACTATAGCAATAATTCCCGATATTTTATTAGTGGATTATTATTGAATATTTTAATTTGTGAAATTAGTTTCATGCTGTTAGCACGACATGGAAATTTTAGGTGTGCGACAGAAAATTAAATATCTGTATCGAGCGCAAGACCAACCAGGTAATATTAATTAAGTATGCTTTAAATTCTATGGATTTCAGAATTTTAAAAGAATTTCTAACACTGAACTTATGAGTCCCATTCAAATTTGCTTCTGTGTCTGTCAAAAAGGCCAGATTTACTTCTTAACCCACATAGATTCTAACTAGTAATGCCATGCATGTAATGTTTAAGGAAACGAAAGATCCTTTATTAGTTACCAATGGTATGGCATATGGATTACGCGTTATCTCTTCAATAATCTCTGTTATCGTACTAATTTATGATTAATATTTAAGGAAAACGAAAGATCCTTTATTAGTTACCAACGGTATGGCATATGGCATACGCGTTATCTCTTCAATAATCTCTGTTATCGTATTAATTTATGTTTAATATTTAAGGAAAACAAAAGATCCTTTATTAGTTACCAATGATATGGCATATGGCATATGCGTTATCTCTTCAATAATCTCTGTTATCGTATTAATTTATGTTTAATATTTAAGGAAAACAGAAAATCCTTTATTAGTTATAAATGTTATGGTATATGGCATATGCGTTATCTGTTCAATAATCTGTTATCGTATTAATTTATGTTTAATATTTAAGGAAAACAAAATATCCTTTATTAGTGATCAATGGTATGGCATATGGCATACGCGTTATCTCTTCAATAATCTCTGTTATCGTATTAATTTATGTCTAATATTTAAGGAAAACAAAAGATCCTTTATTAGTGACCAATGGTATGGCATACGCGTTATCTCTTCAATAATCTCTGTTATCGTATTAATTTATGTCTAATATTTAAGGAAAACAAAAGATCCTTTATTAGTGACCAATGGTATGGCATATGGCATACGCGTTATCTCTTCAATAAACTCTGTTATCGTATTAATTTATGTTTAATATTTAAGGAAAACAAAAGATCCTTTATTAGTTACCAATGATATGGCATATGGCATATGCGTTATCTCTTCAATAATCTCTGTTATCGTATTAATTTATGTTTTGTTTCATGTCCTTGTAAAAATTAGCAATTTGAATACTTCGGCACAATAAGATTGCGTCTGTATAAAAATTTAGTGTTATACCATCTCTATATTAAATCTAGCTAATTGCAATAGAACTCATAAATTGAAGCATTACTTAACTCTATGATACACAATCTACCAAAGACGGCCTTTCATAATCTAGATCTGTTTGGGTTTTTTCTACTGACAATACTAAATTCTCATTTATAATTATTTTGGTGGTATATTGTTATGAGTATTTATAGTGTGTCTTAGGGTAAGGAAAATTAGCAAGTATAAGACTTGGAAAAATTTATTTATTCTAGTTTAAATATGAATCTTCAGGAGAGTTTTAGTTGTATTCAAATACAATTCAAGAAAAATATTTTAAATTATACATTAAATTATATAGTGCTCATTAAGCTGTTGGAATAAAACACTGCTTTGATATTTTTGAGCACCCATTACAAACATTATGGATTGTATGTGTTACTTTCA